CCTCTATCCCCCCCCCCCCCCCCCACTTTTCTTTCCCCCCCCCCCCCCCCCCCCCCCCCGATTATAAAAATGTATATTATTATTTCTCTTTCACTAATTTCAACTATAAATCTTTACCAGAGAAAATATTATACTTGTAAAAACAGTTATGACATAGATAGAATTAAACTATATTACACGTATATTGCATTATAAGCAATTTCATTTTTTTTAGCTGTTTTCTTTATTTCTGGAACCTAATTAAAAATTAACCGAATGATTAACTATCAAATTAGATAAAGGTTTTGATTTCGATATTATTATTTATACAATTATCCGAACACTATATCAAGGTATCTAGTGATACTGGCCGACTTCGGCCCATCAGCCAGGTGGGTCTAAGGTTGACCTCTACTTTTATGGGCCGGGCAGGCCGATGTAGGGGCCTGCAAATTACCTATTTTTGTGGCCCGGCCCGGCCCGCACTTAGTTTTAAATTTTTTTGTCGGCCCGGCCCGGCCCGTACTTAGTTTTAAAATTTTTTTGCCGGCCCGGCCCGGCCCGCATATATATAAATTTTTCTTCAGGCTGGCTTAACAAATGCAGGCCTCTAGGCCGATGGTATATTATTTTTACAGATAATTAATTTTAATACTGGCCAAAATTAATCTTAAAGCTGGCCAAAATTAATCTTTATGCTAGCCCAAATTAATTTAATGCTAACCTGCTTTATTATTAGTAATTTTCGGGTCAAGTTCAGGTCGGGCTGACTCTTAACCCGAACCCGACCCGATCGGAACACTATTCACAGCGTAATTCTAAAACACACTTCAATATTCCATGAGATATATAATGTATTTTTATTATTTACTTATTTTGTAATTGATTTTTCTTGCCAAATAAATTTAATATTTTTTCAACAAGATTACTATTATTGTCTTTTTCTTCAACTAATACAAAGGCTTCACATCCAACTATATTTTTTCTTTTTCCCCAAGATTTGCATCCTAGTATGATTCCAATTCGGTCATATCCATTTTGTCCTTTAAAAACACAAAAATATCTTTGTAAAGATGGCCGATATGAAAACCCAGGTTCATTTGAAAAAAAAAATATAATATAAACTTTCTGGAAAATTCCATTGAAGATGTTTTAGTCCTTCTTTTATTCGATGAAAGCCCAATTTACAATTAATATTGTGAAGAAGCACAGTAAGAAAATGATTAATAATTCCTTCGAGTATTTTAAGTAAAAGCTGGTGGTGTGGAACAACATGGTTCATATTATGTTTGGTACTTTCATTACAATTTTGAAGAATATGAATTATTACAAATATGGGTTTGAAAGGTGCTATAATATTAGCAATCATAAAATTATTTTAATTTAAATATGACTATCACTTTGTTATAACCTAATCTCAATAGTCACAACCTTCAACTGAAAATTTCCGACAATATGCATAGTTTATAATTCTATGATTCAAGCACTTTTAAAATAATCGCTTAAATTATTTCATTCGAATTATGCTGAGCTCGTGATTATGGTCTGACCAGAGCACAAAAACCTATTGTAAAATGTCGGAGATTTCCGTTTGATCAACGTTGCATTTGACATAATTATTCGGTTTGACTTTTTATCAGTTGGAAAATTTCTGTATATGATATCATATATATATATAAATTAATAAAATATTATTATTCATTAGCTACATCCAGCTGAGCTTTCTAAGTTCCGGTTAAAATAAGCACATTCACATAATGTTAATAGTAAACATCATAAAAGTCAATCAATTTTAGACGCAAAATCATTATGCAACTGTTTTTATAAAATTGTTCATGTAGATTTGATTAACTCAAACAACATAGCACAAGAAGCCTTGTACAATTTTTTTCTCGTTCAAAAAAAAATCATCAAATCCATATTAAATCACAAATGCGATGCGTATAATCTTTTGTAGGTTAATGGGTCAAGCAAAATGCTCATATTTTCACAACTATTATGTTGACAAGTAAAAAAAAAAAATAATAATTTCCTATTCTAAATATGTGGTATTTTCACAAGTACAAAAATTGAAGAAGAAATTTAATATAAGTTTATTTTACTTTTGGAAGAATTAGAATTAATTATTAATATTTTTTTTTATACGATAAATTAATAATTACAATTAATATTTTTTTTTTTTATACGGTAAATTAATAATTTCAATTAAAATTCTATTATATTTTAACAAAGATTTATTATTTCCTACATTTTTCTGTATCTTTACCCTTTTTTGATGGAAAGTTTTTGAAATTAGGAGAAATAACCTTATTATTCAGGATCAGAGTGAAGTTATTGATATGAATAAATTATTTTGATTTAAATGGTGTAAAATTCTTTCCATGACTATAAGTAGGGTATTGTTTTTGGCATATTCCTTTAATTTCAACGTGTTTTGGTCTTTCGTAACAAATAACTGATTTTTGACCATTTTCTGGAGTATTTTTTCAGATCGTATTAAAGACTGTGCAAGTTTAGTAAGATCTTTTTGTTTCTTACCACCTTAAAATATTGATTATAGTATTGAAATTAGAAGAATTAAAAATAAGTGAAAAAATAAGTTTATACTTAAATTTATAGTACCCAAAAAATGAGCAACGTCCATAACTTTATCACATTGATGTTGCAAAGAGCAAGGAGGAGCTTTTGCCAACAAAGAATTTATGATGGCGCCTGAGACATCACCCAAAAACCCATTTATGAATCCATTGCCAGTATTGAATCCATTCAATTTTATAATAGCTCTGTTTGCGTGTTCTTGACCAAATCTCGCTTCTACAACAAAAAACAAAAGAGAAAAAGTGATTATAATGATAGAATATTTCATTATTACTAAAATTACAATAGATTGTTTAAAATATATAACGAGAAGATTTTTTAAATTGATTTTTGAATTGGTGGATGAAATTTTTTAAATTGATAGATAAAATTTTTTAAATTGGTAGATAAAATTTTTTAAATTAATAGATAAAATTTTATTCATAACATCAATTGCTCTTTATAAAAAAAAAAAAAAAAAAAAAATACAACATAATTAAAAGTAAAAACTTTAATTGTTATAATGTTATGCATAGTAATGACTTCCCGATTTGTTATCTAAACAAAATTTGGTAAGTATTTTTTTTTTTTTCACGGGCTTAAGTTTCAAATTTCACTATTTTTGAGATCACTATCGGTTACGATCGGTCATAAGCAAACTGCTAAAATTGACGTTTTTATTTATTTATAAGCCATTAATTAAAGAAGTAAATTCTGTTCATATTTACTTATAAGATAAAATCTCATACTTTCTTAAAATTCAAAATCTTAAAAATTCATCATCAGTCACGCGTCAGTGATGAATTTTTAAGATTTGAAGTTTAGAGAAAGTATTGTGATCTTAACTTACGAGTAAATATGATCGGAATTTACTTCTAATTAATGCTTATAAATCATAATAATTTGCTTATGACCGATCGTAACTGATCGTGACTGTGGTAGTTAGTGTTCCGATCGGGTTGGGTCAACCCGAAAGTTCAGAAAAATTGACCCGAAAATTTTCGGGTTAACTTGACCCGAAAATTTTCGGGTCGGGTTCGGGTTAACTTGATCCGAAAATTTTCGGGTCGGGTTCGGGTTAACTTGACCCGAAAATTTTCGGGTTGGGTTCGGGTTAACTTGACCCGAAAATTACTAATAATAAGGCAGGTCAACATTAAATTAATTTTGGCTAGCATTAAGATTAATTTTTGCTAGCCTTAAGATTCATATGGGCGGATATTGACTCATCAACAACAGCCCTAGCGTTACCAATCTAAAAAATTTCGCTATCTGATCGAATTAAAATTCAAGATCAGGTGTAACGTAAAATCAAACCAAAATAAACCCAAACCCTAACCCTAATGCCAGTAGCGAAATTTTTTTAGGTTGGTAACGCTAGGGCGCTACTCATCAACGGTGATAATTCAGTAAATGATCTACATGCATACTGTCACACTCGGAAACGGCGAGTCAGTCGCTCAATTAGTGTGATCTTCGTGTCACGTAACTCAACAACCTATCGAGAGAGGCGCTTAGATTTGTCGAGTGGAAATGTAAGACTTGGTTATTGTTCCGGGCTCAAGTCACGTGGCAGGCCTTCTTTACGTTATTGAGTCTTTAAACTTCCCTTAATAAACTTAACTGACTTATCCTCTACCTTTAGGATAATCAGACACAATATTAAGCGGCAAGTTATACCTTTCTCAATAATGCAACGACGATTACTCTATTACAAAGAGTAATTTGGGCAGCGCAACGTTATCACGGAATCAAGTTTTTACTTAGCGAAAGTCTTTTACACGTAAAAAATCAGGTAAGTGGTTTTAGCGATTTATTATTTGGGAATTTATGGGTTAGGGATAGAACACTTGATATTTCAGATTTTAATGCCTGATATTTTAGATCAATTGCTCGATATTGAGCAGAGGGGCGAAATGCCCTTTATTTATATAAAATATATCATAACACAGAGTTAATGATTTAAATCGTTATAATCGTTAAAATGATTGTAACGATTATAATCATTAAAATGATTGTAACGATTATAATCATTAAAATAATTATAACGATTATAATCATTAAAATGATTATAACGATTAAAATCATTAAAATCGTTATAATCATTTAAA